CCCGCTGGGAAGAGGCCCCGAGGAGGACGTAGGGCACGCTGGAGGGACTATGTCTCTCGGCTGGCCTGGGAACGCCTCGGGATTCCCCCAGAGGAGCTGGAGGAAGTGGCCGGGGAGAGGGAAGTCGGGGTTTCCCTGCTGAGACTGCTGCCCCTGCGACCCGACCCGGAAAAGCGGAAAATAATGGATGGATGGATGGATGGATGTGTTTTGTGATGAAATCGGACCATTTAAATGAGATCGCTTGTGGGACTGGGGAGAGGTATGATGGTCTCTGCTATATGCCTAGCGCCATATGCTAGCTATGGCATCGCTAACGAAGATATTACCCCAGTGCTTCTTTGCCACCACCATTCTGGTTGGGTTGTGGGTTGCTAAAGATCTCTGCAGGTATGTGATTTCCCCATTTTCTTCTTTTTGACAGAAACAAGCTGATGGTCATGTCCTGCTGGACATGGTGTTTAACCATCTGGGCCTGGCGGAGAAGAATTACTTTGGCCTTCAGTTCAGTGAGGACTCTCAGTCCCCTGTAAGCTTCTCTCCTGCTTGACTGAAGCGGCCGAGTGGAAAAGAGAATTCGAAAGCTGCCCTTTTTCACATACACCCACAAACATATCATGCTTATATCCTTAATAGATATTCCATGCACCCGACTTACACTGAGCGGCCTTGTTCACAAAGTCAGGTTATCCCAGAATCCTTCGGCCACATTGTCTGTGAAGCAGGCTGCCATGAAAATTTTAATTTTTCAGACGTTTGTTTAAACTTGTGAATGTAACGGGGAAGTCAAAACAGTTACAGAAACACCCAGGACAGTCTGTTAGCGGAAAGTCTGGAACGCTCTCGATATTTCTGTATAGGGTGAAAACAGCCTGCGTTGTGTCAGCAGTGTTTTGCGGGAGTGTGGGAGGGAGGGAGGGGATCGTATTTGAAGGTTGGATTGTACTGCAAGCCCCCGCGGGAAATCAGCAGCATTATCGCCTCAAGATGTTTTACAAGTTGCAGCAATAGGATCTTGCACTTCCCCTGACATGATCTACTGCGTAGCGATAAACGATAAAGTTCTGCGACATCTGCTGCATGCACCACATTAACATTTACTTTATATACACCTTATTTTTTCTTTCTGTTTACCTCGAACTGAATATATTTTCTGTGCATCGCTCCCATTGTGTCCATGTGCGCATTTAATCGCAATTTTAGGTTTCCTTTCCCTGTTTTGCTGCGTCTCTGCTCCCTACACTATAAACACTGTTGTATCAACATAACACCGATCACATCTCCATAAAAGATTATATCTATTTGTGCCAAGAGTAACAGGCTAACATGGTAAATAACTACAATAACCTTTTCTCTCCTTCAGAGGTGGCTTGACCCCAACAAACCCATCAAGAAGCAGTTTAAGGGTAAGACGGACCTCCAATCAGAAGTTGTGAGATTGGAGACCAATGACAGCGATTACAGGACATGGCAGTGATGCTGCTATTGCTGTCTGGGTCCGCTGGCAGTCACTGGCTGACGGTACCACACCTGGAACCAGTTTTACTCAGTGTTTCGCCAGCTTCTTAGCCTCAGCCGTGTCACATTCCACAGAACAACTCTGGAGGAATTAATCCGGGTGCTGGAGTTGCCTATATTCACTGCCTGTTTATGGGCCGTGCAGTTAGGGACTGTGGCTAAATGCCTTGATCACCCTTTCAGTTTCCTGTCATATAAAAAGGATGATGTGGTGCTCCTGTTTGAACGAGTCTGCAGATAACCCTCGGTCCCTCTACATCTGCCTGTGTTGTACTCTTCCAGGGAGCCTACCCTGGGTCCTAAACTTCCGGGTGAGATTCTTCATCACTGATCCCAACTCACTGCAGCAGCAACAGACCAGGTGAACCTGCTTTTGGGGGATTAAAATCAAAATTGATAACGACTGGCTAGATTAATAATAATAAGTACCCCTGTCTCAGTGGGGCTCTTCCTGGGATGATCGCAGGTTAATGTGTGTCATGTGACTCGACCTTCTTCCACTCATGTCTGAATACCTTGGCTGAGCGTGGGAAAGACACGCAGTCTGCGCGTGTATAATAAGATCATGCTAGTGATTGAAATTTTTTCGGCGGGCTTTCTGATCATATTTTACGTGGGTCTTTCAGCAGAGTAAACATGTCTCCAACTACCTAGGCAAAGCCAGTGTCTTGTATGAACTGCATGATCTAGTGCAGAAAAAAAATGTGTAGGGATTCATTGATAACTTTATCAAGTTCTAATTAAAGAGAGATATACTATATCTTGGGGTCAGAAGAAAGACTTCACTGCACCCCTGAGCAAGGCTCTTAAGCCCTAGTCGCTCCATGGACTGTCTGACTCTATCTCAAACATGTATGTCGCTTTGGATGAAAGTGTCTACTGAATAGGTATATGTAATGTTTCATGACAAGTGGCCCTAGCTCACTGATAGAAGAGGAAAATCAGAGTACAGTGGTCAGAGGGATTGCTTTTCCCCACATGGGAAAATCGCTCACCTAACACGCAATTCTCCACCTACGATGTCGTCTCCCATCTGTGGCCCTCTGCTCTTTTTATCAGAATCAGGATTATTGGCCAATTGTGAGTGTGGCACATACAAAGAATTTGTTTCCGCCAGTTGATGTCTCTCCGGTAAATTTAAAATACAATAAATCAAACCAGTACAGATTAAATATCATATGAAGGACATTTTATTTACAGACAGAATAATGTACATAAAGTGCAAACAACATACAGGGTGCAAAGTGTATGGGGTCTTGGATTCAGTTTAGTGGTGGTGTGAGTGTGGGAGGGTGCAGCAGTCAGGGAGACAGGTGTAGGTTGGTGTTGCAGGTCAGATGTTTGTAAGGGTGATGGTTCGAGGGAAGGAACTGTTCCTGGGACGACTGGTCCAGGTCTACAGACTCCTGAATCGTTTGCCAGATGATTTATATAGATATAATAATATCAGCAGCATTTTAACCTTGAGTCCCAAGGATTAAAGATTCACTTTGAGTGATACTGTGGATGTACTGTCCGTATGATTAAAAGTGTTCTTTTTTGTCTAGGCACCTATATTTTCTACAGATCAAGAGTGATATCCGTAATGGAAGGTAAGCGTTTTCAGATCAGATCTGGATTACCTTGTGTTTAATATATTTTCATTTATTATAGTCTTCTGTGACAGATGACATGTTTATAGTGATTCGTAGTGTACTACAGGCAAAGTTTTCTATTGGTGTTGGCTCTCCATTGTCTGCTTTTAGTAACCAATGGGATCGCTCAGTGTATGACTCTGTAGACGGTCGGCTCTAGCTGTAGGCAGAACGGCCGGCTGCCTAGGGCCCAGAATTACCTGCGTCAGGGAGGAAGTGAAGTGATCATCACTTTTCTTGGTGGGGGGGGCGTGCCAAGTAAAGGTTCGCCTAGGGCCCCTGAAAAGTCAGAGATGGCCCTGGGCTAGTGTGTTGTATTCATATTAATCACTTTTTTTTTTTAAGTATAAACACTTGCAGACATTTTTATGTAGTGTGGGAAATGCTTACATGAAGCATTTTGCCAGTGATGGTGGGTGTTTCCTGTGGGATCCTCTGGCGGATGGAGAACGGGATCTTCGGGCCTCACTGAGGCCGACACAGGAGCTTGATTCTTCGTTTAGGACGACGTGGGAACGAGGAAGGGAAAGATCAAGAGCTGGGAAACTGCTGCTTAGAATGTAGACGAGAATAAAATAAGAAGCGGTGGACTTGCTTAGCTGTGAGAGCTTAGCAAAGCTGTGAGAAGAGGAAGTCATGTGGCTGTGTGGACACTGGGACGCCTCCCATGCGTCTGGGGAGCCAGACTACAACTAATGATTTTAGTGGGGTGATATTTTGCTGTTCCGGGGTGGGGGGGGTCCCACTCGGTATATTTTGCCATTATCCATTAATCATCTCATGATCAGTTTGGAGACCGGCCTGATCGACGGGTGGGGCAGCTCGGGAATTAAATGCTCCAAATTTAATTTTTATTTTTTGGTGAGGGGTGGCAGCTGGGGTGGCCATGTATTTATTAGGATGGAGGGTCGACCTCCTGTCTCTCTGCGTCTTACACAGCCTGCCCTTTGTCACAGTTCAGGGCTGGTGCATTCCATGAGTTCTGTCACAGCCTGCGTCATTACACAGAATCAGAATTCAGGTCTTAACTGGCACATTTAAATTGGTGATGTCAGACAAACCTGTTAATGATGCATGTCCCACTTAACTTTAGCCTTGCAACTTTAGATTATGTATGTCTACTGTATATTTGAATTATTTTCAATTCTTACATTTTACAAGGCAGCTGTTAGGTGGTGTATATACTGCATTAATTATTAAGATGGCTTTAATGGTGATCAGTATTTGTATTCCATTAGATTTTTCTTATTAAGCAAACATTTACTGCCTCTACTCCTGTCTATTCCTTCGTGTCTGGCTGTCATGTGGTACTTACTTGCAATACTGTGTTTGACTTGGTCTGACGCTTCTCTGGTTGTCCTCCGTAAACCGATCAATTCCCCCGGGCAAGTTGTAACCGACATGTTAGAGCTTGTTCCATTTAAGCAGCGGCCCGCTTGCAAGGGGTTTGTGTCGCAGTCCAGCTCCGTGGCAGCATTTCCATACTTTGACCTTGTCGTGTTAGTCACCAGTCCTGAATTTGTTGACCTGCTTCCCTGCATATTTCCAACCGGATATAAAGGCCAGCTGCAAGTTGTCACAAGGCGAAGTGTGTGGCTCAGAGGGTTAGGACACAGTACCTGTGACCGGGAGGTTGTTGGTGCAGATCTCAGGGTCGGCGGACTTATTTCAACGTTGAGCCATTGAACGAGGCCTTTACCTCGCAATTGCTCCAGGGATCGTCTGACCTTACTTTCTGAAAAAAAATATACATTTCTTTGGATACAAGTGTCTGCTAAATTAATAAAAAATCTGTATTTGTAAAGTTCTTCAGGTTGGGAGAGATAGAGAAACTGGCACCTTATATAGGGGGATTTCCCAATCAGGGTGAATTTCCAGAGAAAGGCTGATATGTTGCTTGGTGAAGCTGTAATCGGCTGTAATTACATGGATTTATTTGCTTTGTGGTTCTGTTTCCTGTGGCGCTTTCAGACTCTGCCTTAGATGGCATTGTGTGCCAGGTTAATCTCGCATTGTGTGCCAGGTTAATCTCGCATTGTGTGACAGGTTAATCTTACATGCTCACTTCACCTTCTCTGTGTAAGTGTGAGGTGTGAGAGTTTCGGCTCCTTCACTGCCTGGGGGGTCTCCTGCCCCCAGGGATCTTTAGCCATTTCCTGTCAGTAGCACCTATTATAGTTCAATTTGCATGAGCAGATCGCAAGCTTTTCTTTTTCTGTGTGTTTCTCTGGGAAGGTCATATTATTGAAATGTCAGTTTTTATTCGTGTGGTCTGCTGCTAAGATTATAACTTCATTATATAACTCAAAATCACAAATTTCTCTTCAGTATTGAAGCTGGTAAAGTTTTCACTGTTTATCCACCCACAGATATATATATACAGTACAGATGTATATAAACATAACAATTACAAGAAGACATTTTTCTTTATTTTCCATGTAATGAGTCAAACTTTATAAACGGTAAAATTTGGTGGTAATCTGTGTTGTGCAGTGACAGTTATCTCTGCCTTCTGTCCTGGAATAGGGGTGAACAGATATATGGTATATAATACACAGATGAGCGGTCCAAGCCATGCATGAATAGGGTGTAGGTGGAGGTATGACTTTTTGACCTAAAGGTCTACCATCTGTGATAGATGTGTTTCTCTGTAAATATCGATTCTTTCACGATAAAGGTGATCAGGCATATGCTGTATCTGTTATCTGCAGATTTTTCTTATTAAGCAAAGATTTTTCTGCCTCTACTCCTGTTTGTTCCTTCATGTCTGGCTCTCGTGAGGGACTTCTGTTTGACCTTGTCTGACGATTCTCTGTTTGACCTCCCTGAACCCGATTAATTCCCCTGGGCAAGTGGTAACTGACACGTAAGGACGTGCGGATCGATACCGGAATATTGTTTCTTTCGATCCGAATGTTTCATTATGAGAATCGATTCTAACAACAGTAAAATATCGATTTTTTTTTTTAAACCTGGTAATTTAGATGTTTATTTTATTACAGGGAGCAGGACATAAACACGAACCGGGGGGGGGGGGGATTCCAATAAGGGGAATTAAGGGGATTTTCAGGGGCCGAGTCACTGGGGGTCACCATTGATCTGACACTGCCATAACCCTGCTGTCCGCAGATTTTATTGTCCGCACCGATTATCAGGATCTGTATCGGTATTGGGATACCAAGCTTAGGTGGCGTTAGATCGAAAAGAAAATCACTGGTATCAGTCGTCTCTAATTCTCTGTGATCCTCTGGATGAAGAAGGAGGAAGAATTAAGTGTGGATTTCCTAGTTAGAGTTTCTTAGAGGCCTCATTTGTGAAGCAGCACATGTCCCGTCTGCCATACAGCTCCGATCGCACCCGGGCCTTAATCACATGGAACCTTAGCTGGTGTTTAACAACTGACAGGCCTTTTGCACAATGTCATCTCTGTCTCTGCCTCTTCCACGTGGGTTGTGCTGTTTTCATTTATTTATTTTTCCCTTCCCTCTATGGATGTCACGACCGGATTTTCTTTTTGATCGTGCCAGCTTGTTCTTGTTTTATGCTAAGAAGGTTTTCTGTGCCGAGCGTCTTTGTGGCGAGTCATACAGGATGTTCTTTGACTGCGTTGGCCTTCACGGCCAGAAGAGCGGCGTGAATCCCAGGGGCGCTGTAAGCGTAGCTCGCGTTTGGGTGCAGGCCTGTTGCAGCGAATGAGTCGTCAGTCAGAATGAGAGAGAGACATTACTCCCGGTGTGTGGACACAGTCCATCCTGAAGTCGAGTAAACATTCATAAACACACCACGTTAAGTAAACACCGGTTCAGGAGTCACTCTGATTTCATTAACTCTCTGTTGTCTGAGCTGAAATCGTTGTGATCCACATGGAACGCATCGATTTTTCAGGGCGGCCGTCCCTCACTGAAGGGTCATGGCCTTTCTGTGTATTTTTACTCACATTAGCAAGTAAATATTTGAGCATTCATGTTTGTATAGCACTTCTAGGGGATTATGATGGATATTCTTCCGAGTAGGAAGATGCGGGCAGCTGACACAGTATGCCTGCTTATGTGAAGGAAGGCCAGCAGAATTGTATACGTGTTCTGACATATTTGCAAACTACCACGTGAATACAGTATGTAATATGCCTGCAGGACATTGGTGTGTTATGTGCATGTTATGGTCACATTGCAAGGACTATGATAGTCAGCTGGTTTGAGACCATCGGTGAAATTTAACAAAATGAGAGAGGAAGGAGAAAAGCGAAGAAGAATGGTATCTGTCTAACGTATGGAAATACCTGGGGTTCCGTAGAGACGATATTGAGCAAAAACGAGTGATTGGCCAGCACTGTTTTGTGTCTGTTGGCACAACTTGTGACACCACCCCCGAATTATTTGACAGACTCTTGGCAGGAAAAAAACATTCTGTTTGGCTGTAGTTTATTTTAGGTACATCTTCAGCTCCTTTTATATTTCATAAATATTGCAGTATTAATTGCAACAATTTAAAATATTGTGATGTAGGGCTGGGGCATATATAATTTCAGTATTGTATGGTCATCGCAATGTCCGCATATGCAATAATCACATCGCATTTGTCAGCATTGCTTTGTGCCTGTTGACAAAAATCGCAGCAGCACGGCCAACTTTGTAAACACTCTACTGGTAGATAATATGCTGTTTGGCTACAGTTTATTTTGGGTAATTTCATCTCCTGTTTAGTTTTATAAATATCTCAGTAGTACTTGTAGAAATTTTGCGATGTCATGTCATGCGGCCGTATTATGATGCAAATGTTTTCCAATGTTGTGCAGGCCTGTCTGCTTTACATTAAAGAGCACGTGCGTGTTGTAGTCATCCTTCCTAATGATTCTCGTTGGTAATGGCCTTTGCGAGCGTTTGCCTCTTTATTGCTTGTTATGCTGTGATTTGGCGAAGGCAGAGACAAAGTGATGCGCGGCTCAGCGGGTTAAGCTGCTGTGGTGGTGATCAGGAGGTTGCTAGTTCAAGTCCCTGAGTCAGCAGAGTGATTTAGCTGTTGGGCTGTCGAGTGTGACCCTAACCCTCAGTTTCTCCAGAGAGTGTCTGACCCTGCTCAAAAAAATAAATATATATATATGTGTGTGTGTGTATATATATATATACCTGCGTGGGTGAGCTCAGCCCGGCTTGCAAGCCTGTCTCTGTCCGTCCCGCAGGTTAAGCTGCCCGCTCAGCTCAGCCGTGGTCATGGCCTCCTACGCAGTCCAGGGTAAGTGCCGCACTCCGTTCCTGTTTTTAGGTGAGCTAGCCGAGATCGGAGTCAGTGATGCCGGGTGGTGCCTTTGTGTTTCAGCTGAACTTGGAGATCACTCCTCGACGGAGCACCAGGCGGGTTACCTGTCTTTGTTTCACTTCTTCCCAGGGCAGGAGGAGGACTTCCTGCCCAAAGTGGAGGCAATGCACCCGCAGCACAGGTACCGCGGACCGCAGCCGAGCCTGTAATCACGTGCCAGCTCATTCACCTGTCACGTTTACGGAGGAATCCAAGTCCTTAACAACCAGAGCTTGTGAAATTGAGTTGATAGGACTGACTAAAACCATTAAGAGAGTCTTTCCCAACTGGTGGGACCATTTCGAGTGCATCATAGAGGGCGTGGCTTTAAAAGAGAGCCTCCCTTTGAATTTGGGTTGTGACTTACTACCAAGGAATAATGTGGAAACAGATACTAACCTAGCTGAGAACTTCTACGATAAGATAATGGACAGTTAGAGGCAGTAAATTCTCATTCTTTTTAATGTTAGTTGTGTCTTTCTCCAGCTATAGTTCATTGTTATTTGTGAACATGCGTATGCTCAGTGGTCACTGTATCAGGTACACTGAGCGAATCATGGAGCTGCAGCTGAATACATCCAGTGCACAGGCAGGGTCAAGAGAGTCACTTATTGTTTGGCTGAGCATTAGGACGTGCATTAGGCGTGTGAGCTAAGTGATTAGTGATTTTAAACGTTGGTGCCAGACGCCGTTGGTTTTAGCATTTTGGAAACAGCCGCCCTTCTGGGATTTTCTCGCACTGCAGTGTCTAAAGTTTACAGAGAATAAACAAAACACATAACACTTAAAGCAGTTGTGTATAATGCATTATTGATACTTTCGTAATACATTATAATGCATTCATAAAGTATTATAACCATTTATAAACATTTATAAAAAGGCATAACACATTATAGCCATGTTTATTAAGCATTATAACTACCTTTTGAAACTTCCATCTATAATATACTATAAATTCCTTCATAATGCATTATAATGGCTTATAATGACCCTAATAATGCATTATGAAGGTATCTATAATGATGTCGACTGCTTTAAGTGAAGTGTTAACAAAACATCCGGGCAAAGGAATTTCTGTAGCTGTTGTTACTTGGAGGGGCCAGAGGAAAATGGCTCATTGAAGCTTACTGGAAGGAGAAAGCATAGTGCTGTGCAGAAAGGCTTCTCTGCATGCCCATCTCATCTAACCTAGAAGCGGTTCTGGAGATGAATGGAGCCCTGATACAAAATCCCCAAGATCATATTTGTATATGGAAAGTCTTTTAACTTTTCATGCTGCCTTTTTTGAGCCAATATTGATGAAACCCAGATATCGCAGAGATAATGTTAAATAATCTTTTACATGCTTAATTTTAATGCGTGATCTAGCATGTGTGCCCTGACAGGCAAACACAAGCTGGATGGTGTGTAAGCTAGGCAGGGCTTTCTGTGATCCTCATGAGATCATCCAAATACATGGTGCATTAGTCAGCAGCTGAGAGGGGACACCTCCCTGCTGTCTGAGTCAGAAGACGCCCAGAATGATGTAACACCCAGCACGGGTCCCAGGCCGCTCCTCACACTCCTTTACCTCTAAATATACCCCATTGCAGCTTGGGAAATGTCTGCAAGAATGGGGTAAAATGCATCTACTGTTTCTGGGTCATGTGAGACAAACTATACTGTGCTAAAGTCTTAGGCTCAGGCCGCCCCACCCTGTTCCTGGAGACCTGTCACCCTTCAGGCCCTTCAGGAGCATCTCCCAGTCAGCTATGCTGAAGCTTAGCTGGCTCTAATGCTTAGATATTACTGAAGGGCCTGATGATCTGTATCAGGTGTGTTAAATGAGGGCTGCGCTTAAGCTCTGAAGGGTGACAGATCTCCAGAAACAGGGTTGGGAAGCCCTGTCTTAGACAAAGAAACTGATGTTTAAATAATCTTCATTTTGGTGTGAAACTATGATATTATATCTCTCAAAGTGTCTCAACTTTGCTAACCTCAACCTCAGTATTTGCAGTATACACCCAGTATACACATGTACACTATATTGGCAAAAGTATTGGGACACCTGCCTTTGCACGCAGATGAACTTTAATGACATCCCATTCTTAATATACGGACATTAATATGGAGTTGGCCAAACCTTTTGCAGATATAACAGCTTCAACTCTTCTGGGAAGGCTGTCCACAAGGTTTAGGAGTGTGTTTATGGGAATTTTTGACCATTCTTCCAGGAGAGCATTTGTGAGGTCAGGCACTGATGTTCGACGAGAAGGCCTGGCTCACAGTCTCCACTCTAATTCAACCGATGCTTTGCATTGCACTTGGTGATGTAAGGCTCGGATGCAGCTGCACGGCCATGGAAACCCATTCCGTGAAGTTCCCTACACACTGTTCTTGAGCTAATCTGAAGGCCACATGAAGTTTGGAGGTCTGTAACTATTGACTCTGCAGACAGTTGGCGACTTCTGCACACTGTGCACCTCAGCATGCGTTGTCCCCGCTTCTGTGGTTTTACATAGCCTACCATTTCGTGGCTGTTGTTCCCAGTTGCTTCCACTTTGTTATAATAACACTAACAGTTGATCGTCGAATATCTAGTACTGAGGAAATTTCATGAATGGACTTATTGCACAGGTGGCATCCAATCACGGTACCACACTTGAATTCACTGAGCTCCTGACCCATTCTTACACAGATGTTTGTAGAAGCAGTCTGCATGCCTAGGTGCTTGATTTTATACATCTGTGGCTATGGAAGTGATTGGACCACTTGAATTCAATGATTTGGAGGGGTGTCCCAATACCTTTGGCAACACTGTATTTGTTGACTCGACCACAAGCATAACGCATTTAGCTACTCAGTACTCTGTTAAATGATTTCACTAATTAAGTTAATTAATTCAGTGAGCTGGTGGTGAAATTTTATCATCCAACAAGAATGTTTTTTTTTATATATGCACATATACACTTACAATCCAGAAAAACAACTTTAAAGGCTTTCTTTGATTGCCTAAGGCTTTTGCACAGTACATAATCTCTGACATGGTAACTGGACTTTAGCATCAGTATATTTTGCTATACTCTGTCATTTCAGAGTTACTGATACTTTCTGATTTTGCTCTGGTCCTGCTTTTCTGGTCAATGCTTTTTTCTTGCACTCTGGAAAATGTCTTCACTGCTCACAGTTTACTGAAGCTTCTCTGAGGGCATGATGTTGCTTAAGGACATAGGTGACAGTGTGCCACTTTGGATGAAAGTGGCACACTGTTACCTAATTTTTACCCCCCCATGACCCAAATTGATGCTGACATGACAGTGCAGAAGGTCTAGGGATGCTGGAGGACTTGAGAGTGTCTCGGAGATCTTCCCTGTTTGGATTTTGGTGGCCCCCGATAACTCTTAGCGTGACGTCCCTGAATGAGGTGGCACGTGTGCATCCAGAACCTGCTGCAGGTGACCTCAGCGACGTCATCGTCTGCAGGTGACCTCAGCGACGTCATCGTCTGGCCTTTCCCTCCACAGGGGCCTCAAGCCGTCTGAGGCTGAGCTGTGCTACCTGAACACGGCCCGTACGCTGGACTTTTATGGCGTGGAGCTTCACCATGCAAGAGTAAGACCGGGTTTCTGCTGCTGTGCCTTTTCGTGTATTTTGAGCTCTGCGGGGTACTGTAATTGCAGTGTGCAGTGCATTGTGGGAAACTGAGTATGAGTGGAGTGGCACAGGAGTGAACATGATGGCCGCAAGTGTTACCGTTAAGTTATGCATATAGTTATAATAAGGTATGGTAGAAACACTCCTGACTGAGTATTCATCTTTGTTACTACAAAAGATATAACAGTTCTCTTCACACAATGTCTCTTACGATTTATCGTTATGATGACACCTGTACGTAAAGTGAATACTGTTTTACACATTTAATAAGTCCACTTTGATTTAAGTACAACTCCTGGGACCTGAATTGTTCGAGGGGTGGCATCCATGTCTTTGTGGACATTGTGGACTTTGAGGAATAGCATGTTTTTTCTAATTATGGGTGAAGTGCTCCTCGTAACTCGGGATATCATATGAATGGCACTGTCAAACGTGTCGTGGGTTCGTCATAATGAGTGGACAGACCTGTGAACCGGGCAGCCAATAGCCGCAGAGCCTCGCTGCCCATTTCCGCTCCACGGCGCTTGCCAGGACATGTTGGGACATGGCCGATTCTCTACTTGGCACGATGTTTACGGCTACAGCTCTCTGGCTTGTGGTTCTTTATCTGATTTTGTAATCGGAGCTTATTCAACTCAGGCACACATCTGCGCTGATTTTGAACTAAGCCCTGTGACTAGAAGGTCAGGTGACAAAACCTTCCTCCTGGCAGGACTCCAGCAACGTGGACCTCCAGGTTGGCATCGCCTCGGCCGGCCTCGCCGTCTTCCGCAACAAGGTCTGCTCCAGTTTCTTCTCCTGGTGAGTCAGGGTTGACTCTCTCGCATTCTTCCGACCATCACATGCATCTTTACAATCAAATATCAAGTAATCACACATCTTTAGCAGTAAAACGGAGCCCAGAGCAGTTTGTTTGCGAAACATGGAGTAGTTTTTCAGAGAGAAGAGGTCTGAATTTCTCAACAGAACTGGAATGCTGGTTCGGAGCCGCAGAATTAACCTGTGGATCGAGAGGGATTAGGACTTGCTGTGAAGGCAGTTTCTTTTGTGGACAGGTTTGAGCAGCCAGGAAAGCTATGTGGATTGTGTGTCTTTATGGATTTGGTGTTTGTTTTATCTCAATTGAGTGGCAAGAAATTAAGGTGGCATGCAAATATGGCCCAAAGTCGAAGCTTATCACTGGATCCCTGTGGAGTGCAAATGACTGCGAGGCATTCAGTTTGTTGGCTTCTGGTTAGCTGCCTTCCTAGACAGAGAGAACCTTATCTCTGAGTCCTCAGAGCAATCAGCTTCTGATTATGTGGTTGTCTGGACTTGATTGTACTTAAGAGACTGGTCTTGAATTGCTGTTACTGAATGCATGAGTATCCTGCTTCAGCAAAGGACTATATATGCTGTGTAGCTTAAGTTGGGATGCCCCCCCCCTCCCCAAGTGGTGTAACTGAAATAACATCACTCTGCAGTGTCCATTTGAGATGGATCACAGCGCCCCCTACTGGTGCCTATGGAGCATGGACATATATTCAGACATATCTTACACAAATCGCAGGAGTGTTGTGCTGATCTCCCTCCCACCCTTTCAAGGCTATTGTGTGCTAAGGGGGGGGGGGAGTGGCTGTTCTGCACTGGATGAAAATGGAGGAAATTTAAAAATATTCCTGCAGGGTCTAACTGTCGTTTGATTGAATTTCACTTCACTTCCTGCTTGTCTAATTATGCCGTAGTCTTTAGGCAGACGTTGATTTGAATAACAAGGTTAAAATCCTGTTAGCAAATTTGATTTGATTTGATGTAAACTGCAAAAAGCAAAGCTCCTTTTAGCTCTGAACATCTGACACAGACTGAAGACACCATCATTTGTTAGGACCACGTGCAGTGTGTCTCTGTTCATTACATTCCCTTTATAGGGTTTCCATTGTGAAGATCTCCTTCAAAAGGAAAAGGTTCCTCATTCAGCTCAGGCAGAAACACGTGAGTACCATGTGTCTCTGTGCATGAAAAAGCAGCCCTGCTTCGTGTCCTGCATGTCCAGCTGGGTGTGAGCAAGGCATCCTATAAGATCTGTGGATGTGCAGAACATTTGAAAAACTGATTTAAAAAAAAAAAAAAAAAAGTCCAGGTATTTGACCACATGCAGTAAGTTATAGTCAGCCTGTAGATCATGGATTTTCTGGTTATTGCCCATGTATTTGTCTCTGCTTGTCTTCAGCCAAGTGAATTATTGCTCCAGGGTAATTGCTGGACTAACGAGTCGCCATGTACTTCCTGACACAGCTAAAGCGACTTTTCCCTATTCTCTCATTTGCAGTGCATGTCTCCTCAATAAGAACAATAAGAGGAAGGAGTCTGGGATTTTTTCTCCCTCCGACGTGACTCTTAATTATAGATAGTGTTGACATGTGCTTAATTTGCTCGGTTTATCCGTGTGGCATTGAAACATATGACAAATATGCCAGCACTAGAATAAAAGTCGCATTCTGTAAACACAGCTACTGTACGTGCTTCACTTCTAGCCCAAGTGTGTGTCACATTCGTGTCTGCAGCCTGTCTGTACTGGGATGGCAGATGAATAGAGAAAGGTGGCTGACTTAGCAGAGTGTTAGCGTAGCGCAGAGCTGTACTTTAAAGCCAGCTAGGTCACCACGGATTTAACAGATGCATGCCTTAAATAGCAGTGAAAATCATACTGGTTTGGGTTTAAAGTCAGGCAGACTAATTAACACATTTGTTTTTGTTGAAAACATCAGTTGATGGTAGTGTTCTATCCAGTTTTCACTGTCAGAGTGTCACCTAATGGGCATTATGGGCACTGCAGGTATCTTATGACTCTAATTCAGTATTAGTTAGTTATTTCTGGGTATTTCTAACTGACATACCAAGTTTCCATTGGTGGCTAACATTAAGCGTATGGTCATCTTACCCAAGAGTACCGCCAGCCGTAACAGACGACACGCTCGTGATCTCCGACGTGTCTCCGTCGATCTATCTGGAGACTCTGACTGTCCCCTTGCGTGTCCCCCGTCAGAGGGAGAGTCGCGACAGCACCGTCATCTTCAACATGCTCAACTACCGCACCTGCAAAAACCTATGGCGGTCCTGCGTGGAGCACCATGCCTTCTTCCAGGCCGACGCCTCTCTGTCGCTGGACAAGAAGCTGCTGTTTAGCCATGGGACTCTCAGCTATAAACACCCCACCAAGTGAGTACAGGTGGGGCTGGACTTGGGGGGGGGGGGGGGGCTGTTCTGCTTGTTAATGATTAACAAAAGCAAGGCTTCAGGGCCCCAAGTGGGCAAGATGTCAATCACTGCTTCCTCGAGTCCACGCTGCCAGTGTTTGACAGGACATGATTATCTCTCAGTATCTCTGTTCTGATGACGTTGTAAGTTGAGCTTGACGCCTTTATAGAAACTCCCCTTAAGTGTTAGCTCAACCCTGACCCTGGGTCTCAGGTCCCTGAATAGTCAGGTTATGTGCAGAATGATGCGCGGCGTGGTGCTGAACCCGGCGTTGAGGAAGTCCCTCTCCGTGGAGCACCTGGACACCCGAAGCCTGCCCTCCTTCTCCCCGCCCACCACGCCCAGCTGGTAAGCTTCACGTGGGGCCGTCACTGCTCTCCACCCAGCCAGTGCCAGTTCAGGGCAGCTCCTCCAGGCCAGTGTCTGGGGTTGCCCTCACCAGCAACAACCACACCTTCTTCTAGTGGCAGTGTGTGGCTCAGTAGGTTTGGACCAGAAGGTTGTCAGTTTGAATCCCGGGGCCAGCAGACCGATGCCACCTTTGGACCCCTGAGCAAAGCCCCTACTCCCCAGTTACTTCTGGGGTGCTTGCTGCACACTGGCTGATCCTGTGCCGTGACCCCATGCTTGCAGTTACCTGTACTTGTGTCTGTGTTTCTCATGGAGAGCAAGATGTGGTAGGAAAAGAGAGAATTTCCCCATGGGGATTAATACAGTATATACTGTTCTACAGAACACAAAGTTAGGCTTCTCCATACAATTCTAGCTTATTGTTTAATCTCAAATAGATTTTCACACTGAGGAGAATCTTTGATCGGACTTAACTGGCTGTGAGCCCTGCACTTCTCCCTTAATTCCACTGAATCTCATGCATGTGTTTTAAAATATGTAAATTTTATCAATCGGTTGGTTGACTGCAGGCGGAGCCCCCGTCTGAGGCACAACATCCGCAAGACGCACCACTCGTCCATGGACAACTTGGCCAGTGAGATGAGCTACTTTCCTGAGACAGAGGACGTTTTCTACACGTACAAGAGCCCCGAGGCTGCCATAGGGATTGGCCTGGAGACCTCAGCTGACCAGAAGTAAGAAATTCAGGGTCACCTATCAGAGGACAGTAAGCAGATGAGTTTCACCTATCAGAGGACAGCACACACTTCGAGGTTCGCCTATAATAGCAGAGAATGCAGTTCAGGTTCACTTATCAGAGGAGAGAACACCCTTCCTCTATCGTATTCTGGGACTTTTTTCTGAGACTGAATTTCTTGCTGCAAGAGGGAAAATCACATTAAGCAGGAACTAATGCTTCAATAGTTATTTACATCTGCTGAATTGTATTACAGCCCTAATGTCCTTAGAAAGCAGAGATAGATTCATTATTAATGCATGCTGGATAGAGGAAAGGTCTGGTAATTACATTTTACTTTAAGTAGAAAGACCCATGATGTTATTAATAATTATCCTACTGTCACCTTTAATAGAAAAACAAAGCACTGTTACTGGTGTCTCTCTTAATTATGTTGATTTCTTTATGGTTTCCTGACTATGATTTGGCATGATAATTGTTTGTCCACAGTGAAAAAATATGGCAATATCCAAATATTTTTTATTAATAAGTGACACTAACAGCTACACAACAGTCAGTATAGTAATGCAGAAATCGCATTAAATTTAACATGATTTATTGCAATGTGCAAAAGGCTTCTGCCGAATCAGAAGAATAATGTCTCTCACCTTCGAAAGGCATTTCCATGGAGACAGAAAAAATAAAATAAAAAAGCATCTTGGATGTATCAGAGAAGCGGAGACTGTCAGCATTGTGCAGAAAGCAGTCCGTATTGTGTCACAGGCCTTTTCATACACGCTACAGAACTTGACATGTTTATGCATATCTTAAGTTATGGAAAATTGAAATCATTCTGGAATCTGAAATTGTTTTAGGAATGTAATGTTGAAATCTCTCACACACGCATGAGGAAACGCTGAGAATTGGCCTTATCGTCAAAATGATCTCTTTAATCAGGAAAAAGCATTTTTATTGTTCGTGGTAATTTGTACCGGGTAAATTATGTGATTGAGCTAGTGTTTAATTTGATGGTGGTCGCTTGCTTTGAAGCACAAGTCAAAAAGGTAACAGGACAGCTGTTCAGTGAGGTCTGCAGCACAGACCTTACATGCATACATGTATTCCATCCATCCATCCATTCATCCATCCATCTCCCATATTCACTTTTTTGGTATTGGGCTGCGGTGAACCTGTAGCTATCCCAGGGGAAAATGTATTCCATTTTTATTGGAATTTATGGAGCGATCTAGGGCTTATGCCTATTTTTGTTTATGAATGTTTTGAAGCCACTGAAATTATTCATGAGTTCCCTGGTAACCAGGTCAGTTTGGCGCTGGAAGTCAGATTGACAAAGTGAAACTTTCAGTGCTGTAGAAATGTTTCCTCATCAAAGACTCTTATCCTAAAGTGAATATTTTAGTTTGTTAAGAGCAGAGGCCTCCTGCAAGGTCAGAGGGTTTTTGTTTTCTTTGTTTTTTCGCCTGTAGGTTCTGTTGGCGATCAGGTGCAGCTCCTGTTGAGGATTCATTTCAGACGTCTTTGCTGTTTTTTTTCCCCCATAAGTTTAGCTTCACTTGTGTTCTTTTCCTACTTTGTGGTCTTTTGCAAACCAGGGAAACTGTTTTAACTGAATGTCTGACATGCATGTCTGAAGTCTCACATAATACTTATAAAGCAGGAACCACGGCTTACTGGGGGCGTTTTCTGCAGCCAGTGTTGTCCTTCGCTTATGCAGCGTGACGTACCCCTCTTCTGTGGCCAAACCTTTATGCCTTGCATGAAACACAAAGCAGTGTTACCTAAACAGCCCTCTTCCCCCAGAGGGAGCGATCATCGCCTGCGCGCGCTTCACCCTGCCGACGTGCGTCTCCAGGGCCCTGCTCCTCGTTAGGAGCGATAAACAAGCAGAGAAGGCTTCTCCTCGCCGTCCTTCCTGTTAGCCTTGGTGCCGCAGTAGGAGTGCGGAGCTGACAGCTTGGGCATGTGCTGGAGCGCGTGCAGGCCGTCCTGGCCAAGCAGCCGCCATGAGGGGGCGCTCCGTAATGCAGCGCCGCCCCTGGGTGCGGTGCCCCCCTGCCATGCGCCGTACCGCACCCTCCGCTAATTTTATCCGAGCTTAATACTAAATATAACCTTTTCTTCTGGCGTGTTCTAACGACAGGTCCTTTTGGGGTTTTGGAGTAATTTACTTGGTCTGAGTGTGACTGCTAAATGCATCTTATTTCTAATATAGATTCTCGTGTCTCGCGCGTAAAATGTTTTTAAATAGCTTCTGGGAGACTTTGAGCAAACCGCTGGGGGAGCGGAGAAAATTTAAGGTGAATTTACTTGATGTCTGATTTGATTTATTTATTTGCAATTCCGCACTGTTTCCTTCATAAAGGAAAATTCACAAAGACAGAAAGAGCAAAGAGGCGGGACCTGACCTGCGCAGCTGCGACCTGAAGCTGGCCGGGGGCCAGGAGACAGTGGTGCCCACGCAGAAGACCTCAAACCCCCCCGGACAGCCCGACTCCCCCGGTCTTGACAGTGAGGGCTTGGCTGGGGAGGGGACAACCAGCCGGGACTCACAGTGTTACTCCGATAAGGTCAGGAGCTGGTATTTAGATTGTGGTTGTCAGTGTGGGAAGGTCTGGACTTTCCTGACAAGCCTCATGTCATGACAGGGGACCTTATGACAGACAGAGCATTACTGGGGGTTTTCCTGTTCAGAGGTGGGCCAGAGTGGGAGAGGGAATGAAACATTTATTTGGCACAATGCTTCCTATTGAAAAAAAAACAGGCAGTTCCTGGCCTTGTTCACGGGCCAGCTGGTGGGTTCACTCTGGCGACCCGCTTTTGAACCATCTGACATGGCATCCTATCCCACTGAGACACACACCACCCCCAGAAACAGAGACTTTCCTAAACACGGAGATGTGAGATCGCTGTGCTGGAAAGCACGTCTGCTCAGGCTGTGTACCCCCCCCCCCCGTACTTCTCAGGCCAGGATTCAAAATTAGAGTGTAACACTCAATATGGGAAGATGTGATATTGATAGAGTACACACTGTGTCAACAATGAAGGTCAGTACTCATGGTGTAAAACATAGCATTACCTACTGAATGTCAGTACTCAGTATTTATAGAAAAAAGATCAGTTCTCTCTGTATTAACGATAAAGGTCATTTCTCGTTGGTATAAAAGAGTGTTTTGTTTTCAATGTCAATACTCACCGTATTAATGATAAAAGTCAGTACTCATTGTATTACTAAAAGAAGTCAGTACTCATGGTATAAATTATATTTTTCAGTATTAGATGTCATTAGTCACTGTATAGGGCTATACGGGTATAATGCTCTTACAACATGTGTACAATTATTTCCTCATGGAGAAGGCAGACTGTATTCTGATTGTATCCTAGATTTTTAATCTCAACACCAAGGAGAGCAGTAACCTCCTGCCTGTTGAATAGAGGAGCAGTGTGTTCCTCCTTAGCAACCCAATCTGGCACAGCACTAGCCGAGCGGAAAGCACACACACGTCACACACCATATCATACACACATCGCACACACATCACATCACACACTAAGTACACATCATGCACACACTACATACACATCACACAGAATATCATACGCACATGACATGGACATCGCACACATATTACACACTACATACACATCATGCACACATCACATCACACCACATCACACATCATATCATACACACATCACACACTACATACACATCACGCACGCATCACACACTACATACACATCACACAGAATATCATACGCACATCACACGGACATCGCGCACATATTACACACTACGTACACATCATGCACACTTCACACCACATCACACAGCATATCTTACACACATCACACACTACGTACACATCATGCACGCATCGCACACACATCACGCCACATCACACACTACGCACACACGTTGCATACACATCACACGTACATCACGCCACATCTCTCACCGTACCCTGCCGGCTCTTTCATGTTCGCAGTGTCCGCAGCCTCGCCCTGGTCGCTTCCCAGTCCACACAATGTCACTTATCTGTAACCTTACATAAGGATTAGTCATTTTAGATGGAGAATCGTTTCAGCCTGCACACCAAAACTAAACAAAAATACACAATAGAACAATAACCTACTCACCTAATATTCATATTAACCCATGACAAGAGTGTCTGTAACTGTTGATGTAGCACGATGGTTTATGAGAAAATGACCTCACCATTAGTTAACTGTCCATAACCAGGCTGATTAATTGTCCCCAGAGTTATGATGAATCCTGAGCCGGGGGGGGGGGCATCTTGTCATTCTAACTGCCCTATCTTGCTCTTCCCTTCCAGAGCGAGGAGATAGAGGGGGACTTGCTGTTGGTGAGAATGGCCCCAGACAAAGACGGCAAGTTCGGCTTCAACGTCAAAGTGAGCGTGCCCCAGATCTGTCCTCCCGCGACTTCGCTGGGCGCTGATGCGGAGTCGTGCTTCCCTGAGAGTTCCTTCCTCTAGGATACGCTCAGCTTTGCACTGGGGAGAATTAAATACATATAATGCTGCTGAAGCTTGTTCTAGCACCAGCCCTGTCACCTTGGCCTTGACGGACTGGCCAGACATTGGCAGATCCGCTGGGTCATCATCTTGTCCGGCGTCGTTTACTTGTCATCGTTCTCTCGCCCCGCCTGAGCTTGTTCTTGTGATGTCTGGTGTTTTCCAGGGAGGTGCTGACCAGAAGATGCCCCTAATGATCTCACATGTGGCTCGTGACTCACCGGTAAGGGCCAAAAGTCATGACCTACATTGGCGGAGCATCCGTACGGTGTTTGTATGAACATTCGTAGAACGTGTCTGCTCAAACAGACACCGTTACATCAGTCTCTTCTCTCCAAGCCAGTGGACCTAGTCCTGTCACTGAATATGTTTAGTTTCGTTAATAAAGCTACTCCAGGATTTGGGTCCACAGCTCATTGGTAGATGTATTGTGATGATGTTCATGATGCATAGGGCTGTGTGCGTGTATCAGATGCTGTCAGTGTTTCACAGGTTAAGGCAGTTATGCGTGTTCCTCTTTAGGCTGGAAGGTGCACCCCTGAGCTTCTGGAAGGAGACTACATTGTGCTGATCAATGGACGGGACATCTCAGAGCACAACCACGACCAGGTGGTCATGTTCATTAAGGCCAGCCGCGAGTCCCACACCAAGGAGCTGACACTGCTGGTTCGTCGGAAAGGTGACCGGCTCCGTGATTCTGGGGGCGTGTGTGTCTGTGTGTAGGGGGAGGCACTGTGTGGTTTGTTTGGGGTCTGGTGCACTGGATGGCACTGTGTGGTTTGTTTGGGGTCTGGTGCTCTGGATGGCACTGTGTGGTTTGTTTGGGGTCTAGTGCGCTGAATGGCACTGTGTGGTTTGTTTGGGGTCTAGTGCGCTGTGTGGTTTGTTTGGGGTCTGGTGTGCTGGATGGCGCTGTGTGGTTTGTTTGGGGTCTGGTGTGCTGTGTGGTTTGTTTGGGGTCTGGCGCACTGGATGGTACTGTGTGGTTTGTTTGGGGTCTGGTGTGCTGTGTGGTTTGTTTGGGGTCTGGTGCACTAGATGGCACTGTGTGGTTTGTTTGGGGTCTGTGTGCAGTGACTGTTCCCAATAAGCTGCCTTGCATCCCTGGTGATCTTTGACCCTACTGTCTCCGTCTGTTTGCATACCGTGTGGCTCTGCAGGACTCGGCTCACGTACGAAGCCCCTGTCCACATTTAATGCTGGCTTCCAGTTGCTAGGAGACGGCACCCTGCCACAAGGCCACCAGATTGGTGAAACCCTGGAGGACTCCATGGTGCATATAAAGAAGGGCCTTCAAACCGGGAGTCTGCTGGTCCAGTTTGAGGTCAGGAGCTGGGGAGTAAAGGAGGGCTGGGGGTGGGGAGCCACGGGGCAGGCAGGTGATGCATGTTCCCAATGGAAAGGACTGTGGTTGACACAACTGAACATTAATGTCCACTGAGAGAGGTTTGGGGTGATGGTTAATGTCCACTCAGAGAGGTTTGGGGTGATGGTTAATGTCCGCTCAGAGAGGTTTGGGGTGATGGTTAATGTCCGCTCAGAGAGGTTTGGGGTGATGGTTAATGTCCGCTCAGAGAGGTTTGGGGTGATGGTTAATGTCCACTCACCGAGGTTGACTTTTTCTTTTCTTAGCAACTGTACAGGAAGAAGCAGGGCTTGGAGATGATGGAAGCCAGATTGACTCAGAATATGGAGAAGAACAGATACAAGGACGTGTTGCCCTGTGAGCTGATTTAACTGTTTAAAACTTCTTAGTAAGACACTGACTATCCAGCTAAAACGAAGAGCTGCAACTTAACCAGCCTCGAGAATTTTCCTTTCAGTTCACACAGCTGTCAGACTCCTTTTGCATTTTCACTTACCACTTTCTTTCTTGTCCCTTTTAGATGACATCACCAGAGTGGTTTTACAAGACAAGGAGGACAATTACATCAATGCCAGCCATATTAAGGTAGTCGGTCAGCCTGGACCACTGGGAGTAATGAGTAGGATGGATGTCAGTCAGATGCAGTTGGGAAGCAGAGCCAGCTCCTCTGCAGTGTCCTTCAGGCCTCTGGGGTCACCTGGGTTTTCTTGTTTTGCAGATGGAGGTTCCTGGTACAGAGGTAGTAAACTACTATGTGGCTGCACAGGGACCATTGCCACACACCTGCTGCCACTTCTGGAGGACCGTGTGGGAGCAGCACAGTCGCGTGATCATCATGCTGACAACGCTGACAGAGAGGGGCCGGGTGGGTGCCCTCTGACGCCCCCTGCTGTGGGACACATGCACGCACACTTTTCCTCATGTCACCTAACACACACTGACGGTGCAGCGAGACCGTCGTCTCTCGTTAACCTGACTCGATCAGCCCTTTCTCTGTGCGCACTGGGATGCAGCTTGGCTGTTGCTAGGTAACAGCACTGGTCTGGTCAAACGGAACCTGAAGCGCTTTCATTTCATGTCCAGGCTGCTGAAAGACCTCCACCCCTGTGGCCCTTTATCGCACACAACTGGTGTCACTAACTGCAGTGAGGTCCACATGCCCTCTCTGGGTGAGCTCTGTGATGAATCACCTTTAACATCCTAAAGCCCCTTGGTGACCATTTCTGACACGCCCCCCCGGAGATGGGGTAACCCCCACATCTGAGCGTTGGTGTTTACACACAGGCTGACACGGCGGGGCATTAGTAAGGGTGAAGAGGCCTGCCCAGGAACAACAAGCTAACTTCGTGGTGCTTATCAGGTTAGCAAACAGGACTAGGAAATAACGCAATGCCCCTAATTGTGAATAGGCATGGGGGTGTCGTATTCTGTGTCCTGGGGAATTTCTTGTTTTTATACGTACCGTAAAATTGAGGTAAGAACGAAATACATTTGACTATATTACTATAGTGAATTTTTTTCAAAAAAAGAAAGAAAATGTGTTTTTAAATGACAATAAAATGATAGTAATGAGTTATTTAGCGACCACTTTATCAGGTACACCTGTTCAACTGCTCGTTGAAGCAAATATCAAATGTCTCATCAGCCAATCATATGTCAGCAGCACAGTGTATAAAATTATACCGATACAGGTCAGGAGCTTCAGTTGATGTTCAACTCAAACGCCAGAATAGGGAGGAAAGGTGATTGAAGTGACATGGTTGTCGATGCCAGACAGGCTGGTATGAGTATTTCAGAAACTGCTGATCTACTGGGATTTATACGCGCAGCCATGTCTAGGGTTTACAGAAAATTGGCCGAAAAAGAAAAAATATCCAGCGCGTGGGGGTTCCCAGGGCAAAAATACGTTGTTGATGGCAGGGGTCGAGGAAAAATGGCCAGACTGGTTCAAGCTGATAGAAGGGCAGCAGTAACTCAAAGAACCACTTATTTCAATCAAGAGCATCTCTGAACGCACAACACGTTGAACCGTGGAGCAGCAGCAGGAGACCACAGTGGGTGCCGCTCCTGTCAGCTAAAAACAGGAATCCGAGGCTGCAGTGGGCACGTATCAACAACTCAGGCTGCTGCTGGTGGTGTAATGGTGTGGAGGGCATTTTCTTGGCACACTTTAGGCTCCTCAGTACTAACTCAGCATTATTTCCATGGCACAGCCTGCTTGAGTATTGTTACTAAGCACGTTCATCCCTTTATGACCACAGTGCACCCAGCTTCTAATGGGTACTTCCAGCAGGATAACGCACCATGCCACAAAGCTCATCTTAGACTGGTTTCATAAACAAGAAAAATGAGTTTGCTGTACTCAAGTGGCCTCCACAGTCTTCAGAGCTCAGTCCAATAGAGCACCTGTGGGATGTGGTGGAATGGGAGATGTGCATCATGAAGATGCAGCTGACAAATCTGCAGCAGCTGCGCGATGCTGTCATGTTAACATGGACCAAAGTCTCATTGGAATGTTTCAGGCACCATGTTGAATCTATGCTTTGAAGAATTCAGGCTTTTGTGAAGGCAGAAGTACTAGCAAGGTGTATTATATATAAATATCATGAAATCATGTAATATATAAATATCATTAAATCATGAAAATATATATATATGATGATTTAATCTCAAAAAAGTCCTACCTCCCATACCTCTACAGGCCAGCCACCTTTTCATGCACTGAGTGGAAAACACACAGGCCATGTGTGGACGGTGTCTATTTACGGCAACCTTGGCGCTGGTCCGCATGGCCTCCTGACGCTTTCCGTGCTCCTGCCTTTCAGCCAAAGTGTCATCAGTACTGGCCAGACCCCCCCGAGCTGCGGGACTACGAAGGCCTGCAGATCCGCTGTCACTCGGAGGAGTGCAACTTGGCCTACGTCTTCAGGGAGTTCACGCTGATCAGCAGGGAGGTAGGGGCCGCGCTCGCCCCATGCTCCGTCTTCTCCGGTCTCCGTCAAACATCTACACGCGATGCAGGCGGTGCAGCAGGCAGCTGGGACGACAGCCAGGAGGGGCCTTGAAATGGGGAGGGGTCGCTGGAGAGATCTCGGCCCGCCTGCTGCAATGGGCCCTGCTCCCCGAATCCACAGCTCCGTCTTTAGTTGTGCTTCGGCGCCAGGGCTTATGAGCGTACGCAGGGTAAGGAGGGCTGGCACGAACCGGGCACGAGCCCCCCGCTGGTCTGTGGCCTTTGCCCCATATGTGGAGCGGGCATCTCCGTTAGCTGAGCAGCCAAGCTGACTTGGCGGCCAGCACTGCCCTGACCAGTAAGCTATGGATTCCAGCAGAACACTCACGCATTCCTGATCCTTTGCTTTCTTTTTTTCTTTTTTTTCTGTTCCTAGGTCCGTTCCTCTCTCATACCTCGGGTGTGTTTTAGCGTGGAACGTGGGTGCCTTCTCCGGTAATCTCGCAAAAAGAAAGCGCCATTTTGCAATCTCCTTTGCAAAGGAGAAAGTTTCGTCGGGCGATATTCATTCCAGACGGAAGCCTGATTGGTGACAATGCTGTGATTGTGGCATGAAGGGGTTTTTTGGGAAATGGGGTAATTAAGGTCCCCGGGGTGGCATGGAGAGGCACAGTTGTGACATGTGTGGCTTTGGGATTCATTAGTCATGGGATATTTTGTGGGTTTCATCGGAGAATCCAGCAGCAGCAACGATAAGGCGTTCCTTTGACTGCTCGCCGCAGCGCTGGCCTGTAAACAGACATAGCGCATGCTGGCGTGTTTACCCTCCGGCGGCCGCAGCAGGATATAGCTCTGGATCTGTCAGCCCCGCAGCCCGTAGCTGTGACTGTGTGTGTCGAAGGTGGTCTCCAGAGCCTTTTAAGCCGGCAATAAACATCAAACTCGGTCACAGAGGCGTCTCCAGGTTGGTCCGGAGCAGCTGTACGGCGTCATCTTTGCCTCGCGGCCTCGCCTGGAGTTTGCTGTGGGCGCGAGAGATGTGAGCGGGCGGCACAAATGTCAGAATATGAGCACGGCATTGACGGGCGGAACAACGACATCCTGCCACCTCTGGCCAGCAGTCAGAGCTCAGACCGGGAACTTCTTTGTGTCCCAAGTTGAGCACCTGTGGCTCAGGGGCGTGTGGGCGCAGGACCGGGGAGCAGCAGGCCGAGGGGGGCCCATGGAGGGAGAGGCGTGCCCTCCGAATCGGCCCCTCCGCACCTCAGCCTGGTTCGCCTTCCTCTTCCCGTCCATTGAGCTGCACGCTGCCGTTGCCATGGCGATCCTTCCCGGTGTGCTGAGTCATAAGCCTGTTTTATGCTTTCTTTGAGAGTATAATTGAACTGGAAGAAGGTTGTTTGCCGCAGCTCCGGCGGTGAGAGACCCTTTGCATTACCGAGTCCCACGAGGCCGTCTTCTCCGTGGGTGACGGCGGCTGGTACTCGGGGGCTCGTTTAAAACTTCACATGTGCGACTTGCACACTCGCTCGCTCGATCGCACGCTCGCCTTCCCTCGCCGATTTTGCGACTTTGCGAATCCCGGCAAAAACCAAACCACTGATAAATAATGTCGCTCGTTAAACGCGGCACCGGTAATTCGTTTTGTCAGTGGTTCATGACGGATTAAGGTCGTGCGAGTGTACCACAGTTAGCTTTCCCCAAGTTCACCATCAAAGGCACATAGGAGTCGTTAGCGAGGAATTCCATTAAAAGCGGGGCGCTGGTGTGCTCTGAGTTATCGCCCTCTCAGACAGCATGGCCTATAAAATAAGCCCCATAACTAAACTTAACCTTGATATTAAACTGCGGTAACACAGTGTCCAGTCCCTCTGTGCTTATCTGCTGCATATTTTAGAAAAACACAGAAGAATAATGTTGAATTCAGCACCCGCCTCATCAGTCTGTAGTAAGCGGCTAATTTGAACTGACATCCCCTTCTCTGATATGTCTGTGGAGAAGAAGTTGTTACTGTGAATAATCAATGTTTAGCTCAATATAGGACACAGTAATGGCTTATTTAGATGTGCCTTGTATGAAGGGTCAGCTCAAGCTGAAATCGAGCAGGTGAGATTTCCTGCCCTGCAGATGGCCTGCTGTGTGATTTTCAGTGAAAGAGCCGTAGGTGTGTCCTTATGCGTAGAGGAGGCTGGATTCAGGACGTTCGTTTTTAAGGTGGACTGCGTCAAATTAGCGGCTGCCCATTTGCCGAAGACAAACATTCCTCAGACCTCCTTAAATCTGTCTGCATTTGTGCTGCTTTCGTTTTCAGAGGGATGACTGAGTGAAAACGGACAAAGTTCACTTCTCTCTCCCTGACAGGTTACAAAAGTAAACACAGTTGAGATTAGTGGCGTGGCGATTTCTTTTTTCATCTTTGGTTATTTCCTGAGCAGCTTAACCGAGTATGAGTGTGAGATCATGGCTTTTCTAAGAAGCCCCCCCCCTGCATGGGTCGAAATGGCACGTGGGTGACCTGTAGCTGAGGCAGTGACAGCAGCTTGTGGGACGAGACCTTCACTGTGCAAAAACTCATTTCTCACTTTGCAGGTGATGATTCTGCCTGGTCAGTGAGTGCTTCAGTTCAGAGACAAACACGCGTTTGTCAGAGAGGAGACGCATCACAACTGGCTTTTTGGTTTTTCATTTCCATTTTACTTATTTGTCTGAAACAATGTACACGTTTGAGAAAGCGGGGACAGACGGTCCCTGGAGCAATCGATAATTAAGGGCCCTGGGATCTGAACTGATGACCCTCCAATCGCAGGCACAGAGTCCTAACCCGCTGAGCCCCTTCCAATATGCCATGGAGACATTCATTAGAAATAGTAGGCAAAAATGACAGCCATCAGGAGCTTTTCGGCACGTCGCACGGGGAGCATGTTAGGGGACCAAACAGACTGTTTTCATCGCCGCTTCCACAAGGTAGCGGGTCTCTCACTGGCATTAAGTCAGCGGATGGAGTGACACAGACCCAATGGGCTTCCATTCCAGCTCTGAGGTGTCGTGTGTCAAGTGGCTTAATGATGTTACGTGGCAGGGGTCTGTGGAAATGAACACGTCTGTGCTACAAAAAACACCACTATTACTACCATGAAGGGACCTTGAAGGTGTGTGAAGGTGGGTTAGGACACTGTGCCTGTGGTCAGAAGGTTGTTGATTCAAATCCCAGGAAGGTCCTTAGCCCCAGTTGCTCCAGGGACTGGCTAACTCTGCTTTCTCAAAAAAACACACAACATGAAGGTAAATCGTCCACTAGATAAATTAAAAAGGCTCTTCCAGCACATTTTTTGGGGACATATTTTTTAAAAGAAGGAAAAAAATCTGAGGTTTTTATTGTGTTGTACGCTCCTTTTTCTCAAAGCGAATCTTTCATCTCCTTAACTTTCTAAAGGTCTTTTTGCAGTGTCCCTTTCACTTCAGTGCGCTTTCTCCTGGTATTTGAACCAAATCCAGTTATCAATAACAAAGACTCAACAGGACTTAATGTTGGATCCTACAGACATGACAGTGGACCCATTACCTGCTGGTTGCTAGGCGCGGGGTCTTGTGACTTGGGACCGCAAGCCGGCTATGACACCCCAGCATCCACAGGTAGAGGCAGGAAGCCGTCTGCTTGCCTGGTTTGTGATGATGCACGGCCTCCTGGGTCACGACCACAGCGGGGTTTGCTTTAGCTGGCTGCCGTACTGAGTGACAGGCTTGTATACCTCAAGCTGCTTTTAAATATGCAATATTTTTATGTTCTTCAGAGTGCCATCGTGGAAACTGCATGTTTGTTTCGTATAAACACATGAAAGCAGCCCACCGCTTCTGCCAGAAATGTCGACATGCTAATCAGCGAGCGCTGTGTGGATTCTGCGCGACTGACCCAAACGCACCAACCAGCGGGTCAGAAATGCTACCAGGATTCTCCAGTCCTAAAGCAATTACCATTTCTCAGGCCGGGCCCCTCAAACATGATCTTTTGCTCATGAGAGCCAAAGGTTTTCTGGTGCGTCCTTTGGAAACACAGGCATGTACGCCGGGCTGGTCTGTTTCTGAATGCTGTGGTGAAAACCTTTGGAATCGCAAAGGCAAATCGGTGAGAGAAGGCGAGCGTGCGAGCGAGCAGGCGTGCAAGGCTCACACATGAAGTTTTAAACAAAGCCCTGAGTACCAGCTGCCGTCACCCACGGAAAAGACGGACTCATGGGACTCTGCAATGCAAAGGGTCTCTCGCCGCCAGAGCTGCGGTAAACAACCTTCTTCCAGTTCAATTATACTCTCAAAGAAAGCGTAACAGTCCTCTTTAAATCTGGTTTTGACTAGTCAGAACAAGCAGATTTAGCAATATTAGCTTGCTGTATGGTTTCCATCGGGTATTTCAGGATCTGTGGGCCAGAGTGCTATTACTAAGGGAGGGTGCTGTTCCTGGGTTGGAGAGCTGTTCCTGGTGCAGGGTCTTCTGGAGCAGAGCACTGTTCCTGGGGAATGATCATTTGGAACAGTGTCTCCTGTAGGTGTTTGCTGTTCTGCAGCTCAGCTATATACACTTGTCTTGTACTCCTGTTGCTATTATATTAATATATATATTAATAATAATAATAATATATTATTATTATATACCATTGTGCGGCGATATATCATTATGCCAGCTGTCCTCCAAGTCACACACACGCCCTCACACACACACACACCCACGGCAGCCCACGCTTACCAACACAGAGTCACGCCCAGCACACGCCAAGCACACGCCCAGCGCACCGTCACACACCAACCCCTTCAGATATTTCTGGAGAACGTGACTCCATCTGCTCTGTGGCCTGACCTCTCCTGGCGAGAGCCCATCGCTGAACGTGGAAAAACAACTCGCCAGACGGCAGATACGAGGGAGGGGGGCAGAGAGGAAGCCCAGGCTGGTATCCATCGGCCAGCCCATCTCTGTCCACCGTGTCTATAATGTCGCCTTTGTTTTCCCTCAACGAAAAGCCCAGCAGTGGTTTGTGTGCAGGTTTCTCGACGCTGGGACGCCTTTGTCTGCTATGTAACTGCCACACTTTGCCCTGTTCAGACCGGGGAGGAGCGGACGGTCTTCCACCTGCAGTACGTGGCCTGGCCTGACCATGGCGTGCCCGATGACCCCTCCGACTTCCTGGACTTTGTGAAGTTCGTCCGGAAGAAGCGGAACAGCACCGAGCCCCTGATGGTCCACTGCAGGTGACAGAGGAGCATTTGCCTGGTTACTAGTGTTTGAATTCAGGGGGATCGGGGGCGCGGGGGGGGGGGGGGGGCTCTGACATGAAGAACCTACCTGTATGACCCGGATTGGGATCTCCCCAGTCAAGAACTTTTACTGTAGCCCCACTGATAATTTTCTTTGTAGAAGTTGCTCTTACTATAAATATGT